GACCCCCTAAAATTCTTTTCTGAGGAAATACAAGATTCAAGCATTACACCATTAGACCACTAACCAACTTAGCCTAAAGCCTTTTTTTAACCAAGTTTACCTAAAAAAATAAAGTTGAATTAGAATAGATCGGTACAGAAACGAAAATACTGCTACCAAGAGCATGAAGAACAAGGTAAATATATGTTTTCATGCTTCTAATTACTCACTTGAGCTGCTAACTGCCCAGAATCCTTGGTGTGAGCCTCAGTATAGCATGGGGATATTTTGCTGTGAGTATATTGAATAAAGAATGAATTAAAAGAGCAGGGATGATAGCAGGATGAGAATATGAAACATTAGAAAATAGGGCAAAGTAAGAGTCTAGCAAAGTAAAGATTTAGATTGAACAGAAGATACGGAGGGTTCTTTAGAATGAAAGATCACTCACCCAATGCGTTTCCTCAACAGGTGTTTTCATTGGACTTCCCAAAGGCATTCCCGAATTACTACAGTCCTGCACAAGCACAGTCTCGGTCAAGTACACTAGAAAGGATGGCTGAACAGATTGCAACACTCTGCTCTTGCCTAGGAGAATATCCAGCTGTCAGGTATGTGTTATTTTCTAGCTCATGGATCATGTTTGATATCTTGTTTGGTTATGAATTATCCTTCTTGTTGTTATGTCACCATTTTATGTGATGAAATCATATAAATGTGTTATTTATATTTGAAGAAAGAAAAGAAACTAGTTTTTACATTTTTGCATACTTTCTTTTGCATGTCAAAAATGTTTTAAGGTTTGTCTTTAACCTCTCATGTTATGTTATCATTGCATATCTAAATTATGCATGTGTTCATCTTTAATGCAAAAAGAAACACAAATTGTGAAAGGAAAAGCATGCTTGAGGACATGTCTTATTGAAAACTATTTTAGTTGGTTGTTAGATTTAGGACGACATTATTCTCTTTCATGGAATATCTTGGTCTAGTTATGTCTCCAGTTCAATTTCTGTTGTTGATGGCTATGTTCATTGCAGATGTGCATTACAAATCATCTTATTTTTGTTACCACCCTGTAAGATTTTTAAGAAAGTAAAGGCACAAAATGTTTTTCATGTAGGGAATGGAATACTTCCGTCTATAGATATGTACTGAGTATTCCTATATATTCAATGCACTCAGTAAAGTATCAAGGCCAGTAATTTAAACATCTCATGGTGGTATATAGTTTACAATATATTTGAAGACAATGTTAACCCGTTGTTGCAGGGAATACATGTATATGCTAAATTGTGTTTCCACATAGATGGCTCCACAAACAAGTCAATCACTAGTCCTGCATATCTCACTTGTCTAAAGTTTTCCATGATTTTTTGGATTTTTTTTTTTTTTACATGATACAGTGCCATTAGTATTAGAATAACATTATGATAGTCGCAATGTCAATAATGATAATAACAGCATTAATGTTAATAGCAAAAAAAATAAAAAAATAAAAAAAAATAACTGCAAGGAAAGGGGAAATCATGTGAGGTTGTGTAGAACCACAAATTAACTCCATTTTGTTAGAGCACTGTGGAGCCATCTGTGTGGACACACATTTCACGAAACAGCTACAGTGGGCATTACATGTTTCCGATGTAACTGGAGTAGAGGATATTGATTACAAGTTGTTTTAAGATGAACTATCTGTTGCTTTGACATCACTACCATCACTTATTGTATGACAAATAGTTTTCTTAATGTTATTCTTTTTTTTTATTTGTGTAAGTATTACACACAAAATATCAAGTAACATCTCAATTTTAGGCAGGAAACCTGTTGCCAAGAATAAGGTTATCAGATCAACATTGTAGATTTTTTGCCCACCCTGCTTTAAGATAGTTTTCAACAAGGTTGGAATTCTTCTGAGTTTTGTTACTTTCATGATGCATTTTTTACTGATGGATCAGAATGCTTACAGAGCCATTAGGTACAGCGAATTTGGGGATGTATTGCTTTATCGATTAGGCAAGGGATTCAGATGGTAGCAAATTTTTAAACACCAATTCATAAATAGATAACCTATTAGTGGAGTATTGATGACTTTGATAATGTCTGCTTATGGTAAAGTGGCAGTGACATTTGACAAAGAGGCGACAAGAGTGTATGTGATTAGTTACTGTGAATGGCAAGAGTCTATGTAAGGTTTTTATGTAATTATAGTTGGTATCCTGTTGTGTATGGTAGATATTTCTTTGTAAACTTGTAGTAATGAATAACAAGGATTTGGGAATGATGAATATGGATTTTTGTATTTTGGGCTCACTTAGTGTTCTCTTTTTACCAGATATCGAGGTGAATTTGAGCGAAATGTTGAACTGGCTCAGCTGCTGCAGCAAAGGCTAGATGGCTACAAGGCTGATGAACCCTCTATGGGTGAAGGACCAGAGAAGGCACGCTCACAAGTGCTCATCCTGGATCGTGGATTTGATTGCTATTCTCCACTCTTGCATGAACTTACTCTGCAGGTGAATTGCTTTTTCAAGGTTGATAGCTGATAGATATTAGTAGTTTGAAATAAAGGTTACTTGTCTAGCAAGTTAATCATTCAAATATAATCAACATGTGATGGAAAAGATTAACATCTTCCTATACATTATAGAGGTAAAATTTTTGCCATTAAATATGGTCTATTTCTTTTTACAAGCTTTTGTGTTAATTGAAGATTTTTGTAGTACAGTCAGAAGCATATTGAATTACCAGATATTGAATTCAGTTTTCATGCAGTGATTTGTTTTCAGGCAATGGCATATGATTTGTTGGATATTAAGAATGATGTGTACAAGTATGAGGCCACTCAAGGAGAAAGTGAAAAGGAAGTCCTACTTGATGAGAATGATGACCTCTGGGTTGACCTGCGCCATCAGCATATTGCTGTTGTCTCTCAGAATGTGACTAAAAAGATGAAAGGCAAGTACAAGTTCATTTTCATAGAATTAGATTGTTGGTAGATAATTGATAATGTGGAGGGTTGTAAATATTGGAACATTGCAATTATGATTTAAAGAATGTAATTAGAATATCAGAATCAGTTATATCTTGACTCTCTCAACCATACAATAATTGTTTGAAATTGGTACACACAAGTCACCAGTCATGCAGTGCTACAAATACCATTGATAATAATGTTAATTCAAATGAACCCTAACCTTCAGATTATAACTATCAAGAAATGTATCTTAATGAAAAAAGGAAGGGGTATTGAGTATTTATAGAAAATACTTTGCTTTAAAAGGAAGCTGTAAGAACAATGAACAGAAACTTTCCAATGCATAAAGGGATGCAAAAGGGGAAGCTTATTGCTATATGGCTCAGAAATAAAGTCATAGAAATGAAGGAATGTTCAAGTGGTTGCATATTTTGTTGTACATAGAGAGAGCATATAGTTAGAAATGAAGCCTAGAAAACCGGCTGTTCACAAGTATTATTCTAAATTTATTAGATTTATATAGTTATAAGGTACCAAGATTATAGTAATTAAAAAAATAATCTATTGCAGAGTTCATGGCCACCAAGCGTAACATGGGCACAGACAAATCCTCCATGAAGGACTTATCACAGATGATCAAGAAAATGCCCCAGTATCAGAAAGAGCTCTCCAAGTACTCCACTCATCTCAACTTGGCTGAGAACTGCATGAAGAAATACCAGGGCTATGTTGATAAGCTGTGCAAGGTAGAACAGGATCTTGCCATGGGAACTGATGCAGAAGGTGAGTGCAGTATTTATTTTTTTATTGGAGAAGGATAGGATAGCTTGGAAATTAATGCATGTATTGTAGAAATATGTGAAAATGTTTAAGCATGTGTATAACATTCAGACGTTCATTCCTATAATATTCAGGAATATGAATAGAAATAATGACTGGAGTAAAACTGTTTTCGTAGAGATAGCTTCTTTTTCTTTTTCTTTTTCCCCCTTTCATTCAGACATCGACTTGAACAAAAATGGAAAAACAGTGTCCTTAAAAGTATCTAGTGAAAATGTAGGATGATGTGATGCTCAAAAAAACAGGTCACTGTTCTTGCTCATTGTTAGCTATGCGTATGAAAATACATCTTGTTTAGCGAGCTATTATATTGGAGGAATAAATTATACATTTCTCGTGTCAGTAAGAGTGCATTGTTAACCGCTTGGATCTGGATACTTCACTGCCCGTGCTTGGCCCAAAATACGGGCATTATGATAACTTGAGTGGCCTCTTCATGCCTTCCCTTTACAATGTTTTCTCTTTTTCTGCATAAGAGTTTTCATCCCCCCCCCCCCCCCACACACACACACACACATTTTTTAGTCTCGATTTGTCATTGTATTTCCTTTATCTAGATGGCATTAGACTTAACCTTGCACAGACTACATATCATCTCTCTCAGTAGCCCATAACATTTTGTTATTTGTGTAATTTTAAATAATATTATCAAATTTTCTGTAATACATGATACGCTGCCGGGCACAGTGGGCAGGAATAGGATCTTGAGCATGGAAATAGTGTCCTACCTGGAGCCAGCATTCTTCCAGTTATAGCTCACAGATGGTGCATTCCATACTCATTTATCAATGGAAATATTACAAAGCTCCTTCCCAAAATGCTCACTAAGTCTAATCACCCTCCAAGAGCTTTGTGTACTCATAGCGAATCATTCCTGGCACCTTGGCCCTGAAATTCTCATGACGGCAAGTTCCCGTTAAGCCAATTTTTTTTTTTTCTTTTTTCTTTTTGATCTGATGGTCACTTCATCCAGATTTTAGGGGTTATCAACCCCTTACAAAATTACAGAATGACTATCTAATAAGCATTTTCATACTGATGTCCTTAGTGTGATAAATTTTGATTGGAAAATTTTGTGTTTTTTTCTCTTTTCTTGTATATACTGTAGTATGCATAATTTTCTTCATATTCCCCAAATAGGTGAGAAGATCAAGGACCACATGAAGAACATCATCCCCATTTTGCTTGACCAGAACGTTAAGGAAGAAGACAAGCTGCGCGTGATCTTGCTTTACATCCTGGCCAAGAATGGCATCTCCAATGAAAATCTGGAGAAGTTGCTTCAGCATGCTCAAATTTCCTCCTCAGAAAAGGCTACCATTAACAACCTGGCACACCTTGGTGTCAATGTTGTTGTAGAGGTATGATAATTATTTATGAATTTTTTGCTCCTCCTTGGGTTACATGTCTTGTATAATTCTTTAAGCTATTTGCTTTGTTTTGTAAGATACAGAATCATGAATGGATGAAATTATTCTTTTGCAACTTTGCAGAGGTATTTTACAACAGTCCTGTAGTTGTCTTGAATTTGACTGAATGATTGCATTTTACAGTTACAGTTAAGAGTTTGATACTTTAATGGTTTCCATTTGTAAGTTATGTATGGTACATAGTCATTACTTTTTAAGAAGCTTTAAATTCTGCCTAATTTAACGTTTTTATATATACCACATTTTTGTTTTGTAAATCATCATTACCATTATTTTTCATTCTTAGATATTGAATGCTTTCATTTATTCTTAATATTTGATAGATTCACTCACAGCATATTTATTATGAACCTTTCTTTCAGGGTGGCAAACTGAAGAAAGGGTGATTAGTTTGATTATTCTTATTCAATTGATTCACTCACAGCATATTTATTGTGTAACCTTTCTTTTAGGGCGGCAAACAACGTAAGCCTTACCAAATACAGCGAAAAGAGCGCATCACCGAGCAGACCTACCAGATGTCCCGATGGACACCCACAATCAAGGACATCATGGAGGACTGCATTGATGGCAAGCTGGAGGAGAAACATTTCCCTTACCTTGCTGGACGCTCAGCTGCCATGCCTAGAACTGCGCCATCCAGGTAAGCTGGAACATCAAAGTTGTTCAGCTTTTCTTCATTGTTTTCGTATTTGAAAATATTTGAAGAATCTAAAACATTTCATACTATAGTGATGCTACAAAAGTTTTTACTGTAGAATTTTGTAACTTGACACAGTCATATGTTGCATTGTTCTAACCTCTTTCCTTTAACACAGTTCATAATTACATAGTGTTTTTTCTGACTAATGCAAATCTTAATTGTAGTCTATGATTTATCCCCAACGATCCTGATAATGTTATGGTCCCATCATGGAAAAATCTGGGATGAGGGCCGGTTGACATGAATATGCTTTCATTGGGCAAAATGGCCATGGGCCAGGTGACACGAACTTGCCATCATGAGCAAAGGCCAGGGTGATGGAAAAGACTCACCTTGAGTGCACAAACCTCTTCGAGTGTGATATGACTCATTTAGTGCTTAGAAGGGGGCTTTAGCATTATTCCCATCAATAAATGAATCTGGAAAATAAGATGTATAAGCCATCACAGGAAGGGTCGGCTCCAGGGAGGACACCATTTCTATGCCTGGCATTGTATTCCTGGCCACTGTGGCCGGCGGCGCAGATTGTATCACGAAAAATTGAAAGTTACGAAAAAATAAGATATGACACAAATAACCATTGTTCCATGTTACCATATGAAGAGATGACATGGAGTCTCTGCAAGGAAAATAAGCTATTAACATCTGGACAAAGCAAATCAAAAGACAAATATGGACATTGGAAAATGGCAAAAAAACTAAAAAAAGTTTACACAAGATAACTTTGCAAAGGGGAGGCGCAGAGTCTTGTCACTGCTCATGGGTTTTTGTGCATATTAGGGAGGTTGGCTATATAGGTAACCCACTGCCTGTATTTTAGGCACTATGAGATCTGTGATGCAACTGGATCCAGAGGGGTACATAATCTTGCATTAAGCTTGATCCTGTCTTGAAACTAATCTAAGTCCAGAGCATAGCAGACAGCAAACTGTAGGCCACTAAACAAGAAAATAAACAGTTTCATTGGGAATACCTTTATTTTAGAAGAATAAGAATAGGCATTGGTTTGTTTGTATATCCTAAAATACTATATTGTTTTTGGTCTTTCCAGTGTGAGATACAACTGGCACAAAGACAGGAGTGCCACTGCTCAGAAAAACATGCCTCGGTTGTTGGTGTTTGTTGTAGGTGGCATGACTTACTCGGAAATGCGCGCTGCTTATGAAGTTACAAAGTCTGGAAAGAACTGGGAAGTTATCATTGGTAAGTCAGATTAAGAATTCTTCCAATAATAATAATTTATCTTTGTGGAAATTTCACTCCATTTTTAAGAGGAGTTGCTTATAGAGATTCTGTTAATAATGACAGATTTATGAACTTCTTTTCTGCATTTACTTGTTTTTGAAATACTTGGGAAAAGTTAAAAATTATGAATTTTAGAAAGTTCATAGAAGTTTATGCAAGGTCTTAAAATAAATGAAAAGTCTTTCTCTCATAGGTACATAAGTTTTGTTTGTTTTTTCTTTCAGGTTCAACTCATATCTTGACGCCAAGTGACTTCTTAAGTGAGCTCCGTAATTTGAGCTGAAGCACGTGACCCCCCCATGACCCGGCCTCTCCTTCCTCCACTTCCTCCTCCTCCTCATCTCCTTCTGACTCTCCACCTCCCAAAATTCCCCCTCCTCCCCTCCTCCCTCCCTTGTTCGCCCGCTCCACCTTCCACCGCCACCCCGACACCTGACCCCTCTCCCCTCTCTCCATCCATCCCCATCATTGATCTCATGCTTGCTCTGCTTCCTGTCTGATGCAAAGTATTTGAGGCACGATTCAAAATGTACGTCTTCCATGAGTAGAGTCAATGATTGCCTGTTTTCTTATGCAAAACTGGAGTGTGGTGTTATTGATGAACTCAGGAGAGGTTTCTAGAATCGTGGCTGATGGGACTGGCAGCACTGCATCCTGTCAGGGCATGAAATCCGCTGATTTCAAGAGGTTGTAATTGATTGTAGCTTATTCAAAAGCTCAAACTTGCAAGTTGTGCAGTAATCTCTTACATATTGGTAAGTCTTGTTTGAAACATCAGTATTATGATTCTATTATATATGAGTTGCAGGATGCAGCAGTTAATGCTCCCCAAATTCTTTGCAATGTAATATTTCAATTCTCTGTGTATTTTAAACATTTAACAGTTTCAAATGTCATAGTATAGTGCTAGCGCATCCCTTATACCTTCATATGTGTCAGAGTTAGCTAGTTTGAACACAAGGTGATAAAGCTGTAAGGCTACAGAGAGCCAAGCAAGCTGATGTAAGGATAAGCCAAAGGTGCATATAGCTAACATGGCACATGCTAGCTACAGTGCACTGCTAAGTCAGAAGCTTTTCTAGCCCTTTTCTTGGACTTTTCACTGATTTCTATGTGATAGAATAACTGAAATGTGAATACTCATAACAATGTAAGCAGTGCCTTTCAAAAACTTCTTATTCTTATTGTCTATCAAATTTTCTTCTTTGTCAGCTTTGGAATAGGTGTTTATTGGCTCCTTGTTTTTTGTTAAAAGGCCAAGGAATAACGTGGAATCTGACCAAATGATTATTTGAATTAGCAAGCCTGCAGGTGTTAGCTTTGGAGAAGAAAAAAATATGCTTACATGTTATGTAATGCACCACATTTCTTTCTTTTGAAATGCCTCATTTTCTTTGTTTTATTAATTTTAGAGAAGGAACTAAAGAATGTTTGGATTTACTTCACTGAGTAATCACTTGAATTCTCCTTATTTGATTATGATTTTAGCAATGCACTGTTAGCCTTCATAATCCATTGTGTTGTGGCAGGTTGGAGCTGCGAAAATGTGAAATGACAAACAATTTTTAACTCCATTGTATGTTGTCAGACAGTAGAGCATTTAATTTGTTAATTGGAAAACATAACTGGAATGGAGCTGAAAGTCGTTTGTCATGTCACAAACGAAAAATAATAAAAAGTCTTATCTGTGACCTAGTTAATTTTGGTGTGTGCTGGGTCATGGTTAATTGCCTAACTGGGGTGTTAGGCTCTCCATATGCAATCTTGAACTTTCCCACCAATCGTATAAGCCTGGGCTTACTCATCTGTTTGAAAATAGTAGTGTGTGGTCCTCAACTCTTTTTTGGTTCCTGTCTTCTCAACAGGTGACATTATTTACCTTTGATTCCTGAGGCCATGGAAGACAAGAAGACAAGCTGGGTATCATGCTCAGAATTTGGTTTGAATGAGCGTATTTGAGAAAAATGCACAAAAAAACAAAAAAACATAAAAAAAATACAAAAAACAAAAAAAGATATAAAAGGACGAATGAATGAAAAGAGGTGTCAGCATTTCCAACTGACAAGAGAAACGGGAGAGATTTTGATCAGCAACATTGTTGACATCCAACAGAATATTAACCTCACTTGACCAGACCATCAAACGTTTACTGTATGACATATCTTGAACTACCCTCATTGTATTGTTCACATTATATCCAATTTCATGTTCACTGCATTTATCCAGATCATTTATTATTCGTAGTCATCTGCATTTCTCCTGCCTTTATTCCAAATGTGCCCGTGGCGGTTGGTATATTTTTAGTCCCTTGATCTTGATATCGTTGGTGTAGTCTATTAGACTTGTATTGTTGACTTTAAAAGACCAAGCTTGTGATTAGCAACCACTGTGGTTATGATAGGGTTTTATAATTAGAAGTGTGGAGTGGATTAATAAATATTCATTATTTAGGAAATACATTTTAAGGGATTTTGCTGTAAACATTCAGTGATTGGATATCAATGGTTATTTCGTTAAAAACTTTTTAGAAATTGATATTAGATATCAAAGCTTTAAAATCAAATCATCAAATTTAGAAAGAACTTTTGAATGCTATCTTCATGTTTCAGCTAACTTTTTGAATGATGCTATTACTTGAATTCCATGCTTGAAAAAAGCATGGAAATGGAAACACTAAAATTGTGATCAAGGTGTTTGTCATTTTACTATATCAGGAGTTGCTGGTGTTTATATTAATGGTTCTCTCTTTTTTTCTTATCTTATCATAAAATGCTTCAGCAATACAATGAAAAGTTTTTCCTACAGTAATCTTTGTAATAGAGAGAGTTGTGATGGTTGACATGATGGATTCCAAACATTCCACTTGTTACTTAGATTTACAGAGGGATGCTGAAGCATCAAGATGTGAGTTTAATCCATAGGGAAACTATATTTCAGTGATCTAGTCTACATATATTAAAATGTATTACTGATAAACATAGGTTAAGGAGATGCACCCAAGAAGAGCAAAAGCCAGTGATTTGTACCTATTGTTATTTCCATTTTTCTTTAAATGGTTGTACTTAATTATATATTATTTTCAATAGTTAGATCTTTGATTTTGCAATAGTAACATTCTGCTGGCTGGATGCTCATATTATGCAATGAATATTTACCATGGTTTTAGATTGATTTATCAGTTATGTAGTGTTAATGCTAGAAGCAATAACCTCTGTAGTCATGCTGCTTTTATGGTAAATAGCTGTTTTTAGCTTTTGAGTATGACACAGGTTGAGAAAACACAAATTTTTGCTGTACAGTAGCAAGAAAATAAACAGAGGAGGGCAGAAGCAGTAATCAGCAGATTATTTCACTGATTAGTATATAAGTATTTTATTGTTATTTGCCCTGTTGAGCTTGTAAGTAGGCAATTGGTAAGCAAGAATCTTGGGGGACTTTTATGTAGTTATTGTGGGAGCACTCAAGTAGTAACTTGGGTGGCTTTCGCAATTATTTGGGCAGTGCTAAAACAATTTCATCCCTCCTTAAGCAAACATTTGGATTACATAAGAATTACTGCACTCAACCAAGTATTACTTATGGTCTTTAGCATTTGTCATTATCGGTAGGGTACAAGATAAATTTTATTATATTGTGTGGCGTATCAGTGACCTGTTCAAACAGATTGGGATTTCAAGCTACAGAGTAAGTCCTACCTTAAAATTGAATTAGACCTGTTAGGGATATCTCTAGTATCTTAGATTGCATTATGAAGCAGCTGGTAGGCTCATTATTTAAGGTGACTAGAAAAGTGAAGTACTGTTTAGAACATGTTTGGCATCAAATTCGTGGTTGTGCACCATCAACCAAGTTACCATCTCTTAGCCTCTGCCTTATTGTTGATGAATTTATTGATTTCCTTTTACTATGAAAGTAAAAGAGCATGGTAAAAGGAAATTGACATGAGAATCTTTCATTTAGTAAATGTTCATTAAAAGAAAGACAAAAAATATTATTAGCATGACTGCTACTTGCAAGATGTGCGGTGAATGTACTTACACATGCTGGGTCGTGTTTATGAGTGTTGGTCCTGAAAATTGACTTGGTGTGGTTCGTTGCATTGTTGCCATACATAAGGGAGGGCCTATCAAAACAACCCATGTGAAAACTACTATTCTCGCACTTTTTAACTTGCATTTTCCATGAAAAGTTTATGTAATGGAAAATCCACATTTTTTGACATCTAACAGCAATTTTCAAAGAAATTAAGGGTAAAAAAATACAAGTTCAGTATTGGTCAGCTACAATTTTAGTAGTAAAGCTTAAAGAAGGGTAGATCATAACAAGGGCTTAATTCAATTCACATTCAACGAACTTTCCCTTCTCGGTAAAAGCAAAGCAAAAATAACAACAATGGACCCTGTTTAGATATATAATTTTTAGATGTGTATATATGATTGTTTATAGGATTGTTGCTTATTTCAGTGTTGGTTAAAAGTAATTGGTTGTAAATAATTAGTCTAAGGATTATTTAACATTCTTCTTTTTCCGACAGGGTCACCAAGGTCTTGTTTTTTCCAATTTTTCTGTCTGTTATCTCGACTGATTTTTGACCAGTATGACATAATGCCATATGCCTGAGTATTTTGAAGATGTCTAGCATATCTGAGCATGTTTGTTTTTATTGATTAGAATGAATAAATAACTGAAAATGTGAACAGTCTTATAAATCTAACCAGGAATTTGTAATGTATCTTTGTAAGGGTAAAGTCACAGAATGAGAATTATTTATATCAAAACAATAATAGCAGATTCTGGAGCGGTTTATGATGGAAAAATTAGAGCAGGCATATGGCTGTGTATCCTAGACATTCCCACATTTGTCCAGCTCCATACTCTGTGTTGTCTTGTCCTGTTGGCTATTATGCCTTCTCTTATCAATATATATGTCATTAGTCAAGTCTTTGTTTCGTATTATCCTTATGAAGTGTTTTTTAAATCTACATAAAAGTATGAAATTACGAATTCCACATCTTTAAGGATCAGTATTTAACTTTGTAGTGGAATTCGTTCAGAGAAAGAACAAAAGTGAATACCAACAAAAGTGAATACCAAGACATTTGTACCAATTGTAACTAACACTGCCTTCATAAGCTATCGACAACATGGAGCTCCCAAACTGAAAATGATGGGCTCAATTAAAGTCTTATAATTTCAAATTATTGACCACTTCTAAAGCATTCTGAAGCTGCTAAAATAAAATCAGTTTTAGCTAATATTAGAGTGATAGTTACCATGTTTCACAATGTTTAAGTAGTAATTGCAGAAGTAATTATTTGCAAACAGTAATTATATTTAAAAGTTTCTCTTAGTTCTTAATGTTCCAGTCCAATTTATGGTCATTTTCATTTATTTCAGTTAGAGTCGGGGATATTTTACTACCTACGTGATTTTCATTAAAATAAGCATAATGATACATGACAAGAATTATTTCAAGTATTTGAAATACTGAGAACTGTATTGGAGAAGGCACGGCAGTTTTTATACCGTTTTATATAAAAAAGCAAAATGTAGTTACATTTTCCAAAATTGTGTCGGATTGCAGTGTCGACAGTATAGATACTTAATGCTTTAAGAACAAGTTGATAAGACTCAAGTGTCGCTTATCCATGATTGCGTTGATCCTCTGTATAAATGTGACCACAGACACTGACAATGAGACTTGACAGTATTTATTGGGAGAGAGTTACCCTTTTTGTGGCTATTATTTCACTGACATTACAACGCTGGGAACGCTGCTAAAATTCTATATTAAAAAAAAAAAAAAAATGTTAGTTGATTCTTTGGTAAAGCAAAGCACAAAATAGAATTCAGCGGATGGAACAGCTACCTGGAAATGGTCCCTTTTCATTACAGTACTGTAAAAGGTTACCAGTTAGAATTTGATTCAGATGTGGATTCACCCTATTTACGGCGATAATCAGCGAAACCAACTGATGAGCTACGTGGTCAGTGCGGCGGTTTTCAAAATCACGGCCCGATAAACCCGAAGGAACCATGTTCCAAACAATACATCTCGTTTTATGGGCCGAACTTACACTATATTTTCCTCACTAATGAGTCGCGCCGGCGCGATTGCCAATTAATTTGTACGAACCGGGTCAATTGGTCTAATTCCTGAACCAGACTGTCCTAATATGCTATCTTATCAGCTCGTTTCTTATTCAGATATGAATTTCGCCCTTTTGCTTCCAGAACCTTGACAAAGTAATGGAATTACAAAGTAATGGGTCTGATGAGCTACAAATTGGTGTGCGTGGTTTACCCGCCTATTATTTCGGATAACCACAATCTTTGTTTTACACATCGTTTTCCACCAATTTAATCGAAATTCTTCTGGAGAATATTCATATAAAACATTGTAGATATGAGTACGATATCCAAAATCGCTGCCGACTCCGCCAACTTTAGGCTAGCAAATTGTCGTTTTAGCCGTTGTCCATTTGATAACTTCCTGTGAGGTTTAGCGATCGTACTTTCATCAAAGCGTGTTTCTAAAGGCCTTTCACAGTCTGCGATAGTGTCAATGCTGAGGCGTGCTGCCTTGTAGAGCAAGCATGTAGCAAGACAGTAGGGATGATCACCCGGTCTTAGAAGTCCTTGTCACTAACAAGAGTACGGGGCATTTCCTCTGTCAGTTTCTCTTTCCTATATAGGATCTGAACACACACACTTACACTTTATAATTTACACGTATACATCTACATTTACAGACACATGTGTGTGTGTGTGTGTGTGTGTGTGTGTGTGTGTGTGTGTGTGTGTGTGTGTGTGTGTGTGTGTGTGTGTGTGTGTGTGTGTGTGTTGTGTGTGTGTGTGTGTGTGTTGTGTGTTGTGTGTCTGTGTCTGTGTCTGTGTCTGTGTCTGTGTGTGTCTGTGTGTGTGTGTGTGTGTGTGTGTGTGTGTGTGTGTGTGTGTGTGTGTGTGTGTGTGTGTGTGTGTGTGTGTGTGTGTGTGTGTGTGTGTGTGTGTGTGTGTGTGTGTGTGTGAGAGAGAGAGAGAGAGAGAGAGAGAGCTTGCTGATTCATAAGTTCAAGTCGATCCCAGTCCCCTGTGAAGTTTGTTCCTCAAATGGTTAAAAGGAAACTTCCAGGGAACGCAGACCATGAAGGCGTGTTTCCAGGGCGGGATGTGTCAGGCAGTTCAAAAAGCAATGATCATTCTGCTTATGGTTTGTGAAGCCTTTGTCACAGATTTCTCTTTCACGTTTTAAGATCTAACTAAAAAGAAAAGAACAAAGAAAAAAGTAAAAGAAGAACAAGGAGGAGGAATAATTCTTGTCTACATATGGCATAAGAAATAAATTGAATATTTCAGTGGAAAACATTATCCCCAAATATCATAAAACCCCTTGTCTAATATATATTTACCCCTCCTCCCGATATCTGAAGACAGTACAGAAACGTGACCCAAATGGGAATTTAACTGCCGTGCTCGCAAGAATTAAAGAAATAAAGACATGAAGCTTGAGATCAGTCGACATAATATTACTTCCATTAGATACAACTTCATACCCTTGACTGAATTTAGGTTCCGATGTTAGCTGGATGTTTAGATAGACTCGTCGACAAAGACTGGCTAGTTTCCTCTCTAGACCACCTCCGTGCCCAAGAAAAGCGCTCCCGTTGCCCATGACGTCGAAACAGCGATGGCCTTAGAGGGAACCGGAGGTCAAGGTCTATATAAGTACTTATATAGACCTTGCCGGAGGTCCTCTCAAACCACGCCCCCCACCGCCAACCAGGAGCGTCCTGCCCACCCCAGAGACGGGCGCAGCGAACCTCAAAACC